GAAAAAAAAAAAAAAGAAAGTGCCCATGGGTCGCGCCCATAGCTCAGTTGGTAGGGCCCCAGCCATGTACACTGAGACTGGCAGGTTCGAACCTGGCCCGGGCCAGCTAAAACAGCAATGTCAATGGCAAAAAATAAATAGCTGGGCATTGTGGCAGGCACCTGTAGAACCAGCTACTTGGGAGGCTGACACAAGAGAATCACTTAAGCCCACGAGTTCGAGGTTGCTGTAAGCATTGATACCACCGCACTCTACACAGGGCAACAGCTTAAGACTGTCTCAAAAAAAAAAAGTGCCAGTGTGATGTTAGAATTTGTGATAGCTGGAAAAAAGATAGTTCAAGGAATAATTAAGGAATTCAGAAGTTTTCCAAAGACTCAAAGAGGAAAGCACCATGATTTAGTACCATAAAACTCCCGAAGGCTCAAGAGGTTTGGAAGTTCTCAGAAATGCACTTCTGGCAGTGGGATTCACAGTTAGTTTCAGGGCAGAAAGGAGGCATTCTGGAGACCCCAGTTTCTTAAATGACACATGTAAGAAGTGAAAAGGAAAAGATTTTGTAACATGGAACCAAGAGAGGAATGTGTGCTTTTTTTTTTCTTTTTTGTAGAGACAGAGTCACACTTTATCACTGTTGGTAGAGTGTCGTGGTGTCACACAGCTCACAGCAACCTCCACTTCCTGGGCTTAGGCGATTCTCTTGCCTTAGCCTCCCGAGTAGCTGGGACTACAGGCACCCGCCACAATGCGTGGCTATTTTTTGTTGCAGTTTGGCCAGGGCCAGGTTTGAACCCGTCACCCTCGGTATATGGGGCCAGCGCCCTACTCACTGAGCCACAGGCACTGCCCTGAGGATGCTATTTTATAAGTTAGGTTGGGCTAAGAAACTTTTGTAAATTGGTCACAATGGTGTTAACCTTCCTGGCTAGATCTTTCTCCTAAAGCCATCTTTGTCCTTTCAGGCACTTCGATACCCTTATTTCCAGGTTGGACACCCACTGGGCAGCACCACACAGAATCTTCAGGATTCAGGGAAAACACAAAAAGACATCCTGGAAAAGGCAGGCCCGCCTCCTCATATTAAGCCAGCCCCTCCTACCCAGCCCCCAGCCAAGCCCCACACACGGATTTCTTCACGACAGCATCAAGCCAGTCAGCCCCCTCAGCATCTCATGTGCCCCTACAAAGCAGAAGCGTCCAGGACAGATCACCTGAGCCAGCTCCAGGAGGACAAGTCCAGCTCATTGCTTTTCCCATCTGTCCACAGTAAGAATCCCCAGACGGTAAGTAGCCAGGAATCACCAGTGAGCTTTGTGTCTAGCTTATCCCTCTCTGACCCCATTTACTGTGTAAAATATTTTCTTTCCCAGTATACAAGGTCTAATTATGTTAGATTTATCTTTGCAACAGCATGGAATTGTGAGAAAACCCTTGGCTTTGGAGTTAAAGATCTAAATTCAGACTCTGGCTGTGCCTCTTACTGACGGGGCAGCTTGTGGGGAGCTGCTGTGGGGAGATGGGCAAGAGTTGGACTCTGTGGCCCAAGAGCCAAGGTTTCAAATCTCAGCTCTGCTATGTGACAGCTCGATACCCTGTGCACGTTACCTGGTCTGTTTCTCATTTTCTTATCTGTAAAATAGGGATAATAATAGCACTTACCTGGTAGAATTGTTTGGAGGACTAATTGTGCTAACATTTGAAAAGAATTAGTCTGGGTACAGTGACTCAAGCCTGTAATCCTAGTAGTCTGGGAGGCCAGGATGGGTAGACTGCTTGAGCTTAGGAGTTTGAGACCAGTCTGAGCAAGAGTGAAACCCCGTTTCTACTAAAAATAAAGAAATTAGCTGGGCATTGTGGTAGGCTCCTGTAGACCCAGCTGCTTGGAGACTGAGGCAGGAGGATCACATGAACCCAGAAGTCTAAGGTTGCTGTGAGCTCAACTAATGCCAGGACACTCTAGCATGGGCAACAGAGTAAGACTCTGTCTCAAAAAAAAAAAAAAAAGAAAGAAAGAAAGAGAAAGAAGAATTTAGAATAGTACCTAGCACCTACCTAGAACTGAATAAATGTTACTCACTGTTACTATTAACCCCTCCCTGTGGACTGGTCTCTAAAAGGAAACTCCTGATGCATACCTTGCCTGCTAGACAGAGTCGTTCATGAGGATCAGAGGTCATGGTGCTCGTGAGGATTCCTTGAAAATCATCAAGTGCCACACTAGTATTTGTAGACTGTTATTCATCAGAATGCTGAGCTATTCATTGGGCCGGGATTTTCTTCTCCTCTTGGCCTGGTTTTCAGAAGGAAACAATGAGTGTTAGATTCAGTAAAATGATCACCTGCCAAGGGACTCTAGTCCTCGCTAGCTTTGAAGTGTTGTCTGAAGAGTCTGACTTTCCAACATCTTTGTGCCAAAGTAGTACTTTTTTTGTCAACATGTATTTGCTGAGTGCTGGCTCCCGACCACCATGGAGTGACATTGCCAGAGATTGCAAGGATAGCATCTCTAGTCTGCTCACTTTCCTGCAGCCCATGATTTGGTAGGGGGGTGTGTTTGGAAGTTTTTTGTTGTAGCTAATTGTCTACTTAAGAGATCTTAAGAGATAGTATCCAGGTCTACTAAGAAGGCAGAGAAGGAATTCTGTTTGCATTGTTTTCTGTAAAGAGCAGGTTTAGGCATGATTTCTTACATCTCTATTTATAACAGTAAGAAACTGTGTTAATTGTTTAAAGGATGAGGCCTGAGTGAAAATTCAGCCATCCTCTTGGTATACGAAAAGTATCTCAAATTTATTTTTGTTTTTTAATTCGTATTTTATGCAACTTATTGTCTTCAGTGGATGACAGCCAAGGTCACGTGTACAGGGTAGATGAGACTGGCCGACCGGGAATGTGTTTCCACGCTTGCCTTTCCAGATGAGCAGTGCATGTTGGGGAATGCTGTGCTCCGGAACCCTCCTTTTCATAACAAGGGAAATTCAGAATGAGGGTCAAGGGTGAGCTTCCCTAACGTCAGGTCTGATTTTTCCTCCCCTCTCCTTGTATGCACAGAAGATCCTCGCTAACCTGGAGCACAAAAACGGTGACATGAAGCCAAAGAGCAGGAGAAGGTGGGGTCTCATTTCCAGGTCATCAAAGGATTCCGAAGATTGGGCTGACTTGGAGGATTTCGATTTCAGTCCGTCCCTCACCAGGATTGACCTGAAAAACAAGAAGAGACAGAGCGAGGACGCTCTCTGCAGGCACGTCGCGTCTCCGGGCACGTCGCGTCCCCGGGCACGCACGCAGGGTGGGGGAGGGTTGGGAGGTTGCCCGTACCTCTGTGATGCGCCGTCTCCCTCCTGCTGATCAGAGCCCGGTTCTCGTGATTCAGGTTTGAGAGTGTTTTGGACCTGAAGCCCTCTGAGCCCGTGGGCACAGGAAGCAGCGCGCCCACCCAGCCTTCACACCAGAGGCGGGACACACCCACCCTGAGGTCCGCCGCCAAGCAGCACTACTTGAAGCATTCTCGATACTTGCCTGGTAACGTCACGACTTGTCTGTGCTTTGATCGTTGTTGATAATAAATCTTGTCCTTGGAATCACATTTTCACAACGATTTTGTTTTAGAAGGCAAGTACTTGGGGGCTTTTCTTCAGAACTGGTAGGAACATGATAGAAATATTTGCCAAAATCCAGGACTCACATTTTCAGCTTTTATAGTCACCTAAGATAAGAAAATTGGGTAGAAACTAGATCCAGCCCTGAGGGAGGGAGGAAGTGGTAAGAACTAGGCAGCATGCCTGAGGCCCTCCACCAGACCAGGTTGGAGAGCAGTTGCCAGCCAGGAAACCAGGAATTACACCATCCGGGCAGTAATACCAAGCTCAGCACTATAGTTTGGTGGGTACCCAACCCCTTCTTTGTATTATCCATGTTCCAAGCTTATGGAACTAGCCATTCATTCATTCATTCATTCATAGATTCATTTAGTCAATAAATATGCCTTTAAGCACCCACTGTGTGCAAAGCACTGGGAATTCTATGGCAAACAAAATAACCAAGCAAGGCCACTGAGTTTTACGATTGTGGGGAACTCCTTCATCACAGCAGCCCTATAGACAGCTGATATCCAGTGGTGGCGGAGAGACTTGACCAAGAGATGAGCAGTGATCACCGATGGTGGTAGGGTGGTCAGGAAAGGCCTCTCTAAATAAGTGACTCGGCTGGACCCCAAAGAATGAGGAGGAAGCAAATGTGCAGAAGAAAGAGCATACCTGGTGGAGGAAACAGCCAAGGGGTAGGGGCGGTCTGGGGGAGGAGACGCAGAGGCCAGCGTGGCCAGAGCATGGTAACAGTAAGAGAAGAGGCAATGTAGTGTGTAGGATGAGGCATCTGTAGGGGCTTGTAAGAAATTTGGATTTCATTTCATAAGCAGTAGAAAGCTCATGAAGGGTTTTAATTGGAGGAGAGAATTTTGTTGTTGTTGTTGTTAGAGGCAGAGTTTCACTATGTTGCCCTTGGTAGAGTGCTGTGCTGTCACAGCTCACAGCGACCTCAAACTCTTGGGTTCAAGTGAGTCTCTTGCCTCAGCCCCCCCGGTAGCTGGGACTACAGGTGCCTGCCACAGTGCCTGGCTATTTTTTGTTGCAGTTGACATTGTTGCTTAGCTGGCCGGGGCTGGGTTCAAACCCGCCAACTTTGATGTATGTGGCTGGCGCCATAACCATTGTGCTACAGGTGCCAAGCCCAGAGGAGTGATTTTATCTGCATCTGTGTGCAGAGTAGATGAGGGGCCAACAGGCTGTCACTGTCAGCCGGGTGAGGAAAGTGGTGGCACAGGCTGCAGGTGGGGTCAGAAGGGAGGGGGTGAGCTGGAACATCAGGCCCTCCTGGAGCATGAGATTCCTCACCCTGTTTGGAAATAAGGCTTCTAAATGCTGTTGGTCTTCATCAGGATTGACACTGTGTTCTTAGAAGACAGGCTTGACAGTTCCCAGGGTGACCTGGGAGAAGAGAGACAGTTGACAGGTATAGAGTGATCCAGTTGTGAGAGGGGAGAAGGCTCAAACTACAGTGACCACAGACAAGGGCAATAAGGAGCAGGGAGTGAACTAGAGAGTTCTTTCTCTTTATCTCCAGGGGAAGAGGAGAGGGATAAAAGAGGAATTCAGACTTTCAATTCTGGAAAATAGCTGCAGGGCCTGTGGGAACACGACCCATCTGCAGGAAAGTGGACTGTCTTGAGGTCAAGGTGGTGGAGGTTGAGGGTCTGTTCTGGGAGGCCTTGACCATAAGGGCTCAGAGTCAGTGATGGTTCTTGGTACAAACCAGTCTTCAGCACATAATAGCAGTGGCAATTCAGGTGAGGTGAGAAGGTGGAACCTGGGGACAGAATGCACTGAGAAGAGAGCAGGGGGTGCAATTGGGGAAGAACCTATAAACGTGACTGAAAATGTTCTGGAAAGGGGGAGATTAGAATGTCCAGGGGCGCTGAAGCGCAGGACAGCATCAGAGGGTCCAGATGTGTGACAGATCCATTGGTAGAAGCAGTAGAGGCCCCTTCTCGGCCTCCCTTCTTGGCCTCCCACAAATGAGTCAACATCTCTCTTCTGCCATCTATCACTTGACTTCATCACAGTCAGTTTTTGCTTTGATTATTGAACCACAGTTTTCAACAAATTGGATTCTGCTTTAATTTCTAGTCTGGTGTAAGATTAAATGTGTATTTTGTGTTTCATTTCCTCTGTATTAGGAATAAATATAAGAAATGGAATACTCTCCAATCCAGGCAAGGACTTTATACCACCTAATCCGTGGTCTAGTTCTGGTTTGTCTGGAAAATCTTCAGGGACAGTATCAGTAATCAGCAAGATAAATTCAGGTGAGTAATGATTATTCACTTCAGAATGACAAAAAGCAAGTTCCCTGGCATGGTGGGGACAGAGAACCGTGGAATGAGCTGTGGAGCCATGAGGGCCTTTGTAGGGTGAAAGCCCAGGCTGCATCCAGCCTTGCCCTCCTCTCTCTTTTTTGGCAGCAGGCCCTGGGGACCCAGCCAGCTCCCATGGAGGTCTTCCCTCTAGAGTAGGTGGAGAGAATAATCTTCCCTGGCTCAAGGGAGAAACAAAAATAATCTTGGAAACTCTGGCCACGCCTGATGTCTGAGGCCCTGGCTGTGGCAGATGACCTCCTTCTGTGCCGGATGCCGACCTTGTTCCACCTCATTTCACGCTCACAGGCAGCACCTGCTGGGTGCCACTTCCCCTTCCACATTGATGGGTGAACATCCGGGCCCACCCTTTTCTGCCTGCATCCATTAAGTGTTCATTTATTTTAAGGAAAACGAAAGTGAACGGGGTAAAATTTGGATACCCACATACCCACCACTCAACTTAATACGTCGAACTTTGCAAAGAGACATGAAGCCCAGTGTCTGTTTAGGTCTTTCTTGTCTCCTTCTCCCTCCCCCTTCCGTTCCCCTAACCCCCACCTCAGTATGATTAGAGGGTTTATCATACCCATGCGCTTTTTTGTTTCTTAATTCCAAAGTATGAAGAGGGTACAGAGGTTTTCATTACATGGATACCTTTTGTAATGCTCAAGTCAGGGATTTAGTGTGCCCGTCACCCAAATAATGTTTGGCGTTCCTTGTACCCAATAGGTCAATTTCTACCCTTCTTGGTTTCCAGTGACCTTTATATCTCTTTGTGCCCGTGTGTGCCCCTTTGTGCCCATGAATTAGCTGTAAATTATTATCGAGAACATGTAGTGTTTGGTTTTCCATTCCTGAGATACTTCACTTAGGATAATGGTCTCCAGTTCCAGAACGCATTTTTCAAAAATGTGTATGAAATTCATAGTATGGTTTTGCATGTTTTGAAATTTGTGTAAACATAATCCTAAATGGTCAATTCACCCATTTTAATAAATATATTATGTGTGTAGCAATTACACATCTATATCATATGATTATGATTAATCTATTATATAAGATATACACACAATGCTATCATTTATTATTTATACTAGACTATTCATTTATTTATTTATTTTGAGACAGAGTCTCAAGCTGTCACCCTGGGTAGAGTGCCGTGGCATCATAGCTCACAGCAACCTCCAACTCAGGCTCAAGCGATCCTCTTGCCTTAGTTTTTTGTTTTTAGTTGAGATGGGGTCTCGCTTTCAAACTGGTCTCAAACCTGTAAGCTCAGACAATCCACCCACCTCGGCCTCCCAAGTGCCAGGGATCACAGGCCTGAGCCACTGCCCCCGGCCATTATTTATCTATTCCTTCTCTTCTTGACAAACACAGAAATGATTTGCAATTTTTGCTATTAGAAAGAATACTGAAATGAATATAACTTCTTGTTGCACACATGTGTGAGAGTTTCTCTGGGTGTATTCACTAGGAGTAAACATTTTAGGCTAAAGGGTGTACTCATCTTCAACTTTACAGATATTGCCACATTGCTCTCCAGCAGGGTATGGGAGGTGCACTACATCCTACATGTCACTTGGTACTGTCAAGACTAAAATTTGTGCTAATCTGATGTGTGCAAAATGGTATCTTACTGTGATTTAAACGTGCATGTCCTGTTTACTGGTGAGGTTCATCATCTTTTCTTGTGTTTGTACATTTTTTCCCTTTTGTGACTTACTCCTTCAGGTTCTTTCCCCATATTTCTTCATACAACAAAATACAAAATGTACTTCTGCTAACCAACACAACTCCTCACACATGCACTCCAGACCATGTGCGCCATGCTGCCTGAAGCAGTTGTCAAGAATGTGGCGTATGGACAGTAACTCTGTTACTTACCACCTTGTCCTAATGGATAGAACTTCCATTTGTATAATGAACAATAATAACATTTTTCATTACCTATGTGTACCTTGAGGCATTAAAGGTATTCATCCACTCATCCAATATTAATAATGCCTGCTATGTGCAAGGCATTCCATTAATATCCCAGAATACAAAAGATAAATAGCATATAGTCCCTGCCCTTAAAGTACTCTCAAATGAAAATGACATAAAAAGTGAACATATTGACTCGGTGCCTATAGCTCAACCGGCTAAGGCGCCAGACACGTACACCTAAGGTGGC